GGGAATTTATGACCCTCCAGAATTTTTCTTAATCTTTGAGCAGAATTTTTTAAGTAAACGATACCTTATACAAGTGGTTTCCAAAGTGGGCGATATCGCCCCCTTGTGGGTGATGAAGCGATTCAGGGGGCGATGATGGCTATAGGCGTATTTGAGGAGAGGGAGGGAGGGCGATGAATTTTCTTTTTTGAGTTATTAAAAAAAAAAGAAAACCAAAAAATTAATTTTCAGGGGGGGGGGCGATAAGTAATATTTTTTCTGGAAAGGGGGCAATAGGACAAAAAAGTTTGGGAACCCCTGCCTTATACCTACTGCCTATCGTATTCTACGATATTTTATTTTATAGGTTTATCGCAGGGTTTTGTTCACCTAAGATTGACAGCGCATTCCAAAGAAATTGAATATAAAGAAAAATAACTAAATATAAAGTTTTTCGTCTACAAAGGATTTGATACTGAACATTTTACCTCGTGGTGAAGTTTCTTTGAGCCCCAATTTGGATGCTTAGCATTCTAGTTGCCTACTGCTATAAATTTATTATCTAATGTTTTAAAGAAGTCGTTCCATAGGTCTGTTGAAATTTTGAATCTTGGGGGTGCATAGATAACCGAGAGTTTAAATGAATTGCCCTGAGTTTTTAAAGTAATTGTGGTAGCTTGGAGATAATTATGAGATGTATTACTGTGTAGATGATATTTGATATCGTTCTTGATAATTATAACAGTTTCACCATGCGCTTTATCAGTAGAGTGTTTTGTGTTGCACAGATGGTGTATTTATGTGGTGCAGACGGTACATTTATGTAGTTTCTATCAGTGAGATGAGTTTCAGAAACGAGTAGAATGTCTATGTCGTGTGTATATGTGAATGCTTTGATTTCTTGAATTCTATGTTTTAATCCTTTGCTGTTCCATACCACTATTTTTAATTGCATGTCCATAATTTATTTGTAAGTAACGTATTTTTTAGTAATTGTAGCATTGTGGTAATTTATTGCGTTTGTTGTTTTATCATAGAATTTAGCTCCATTAACATGTTAATTATGATTTCAGTGTTTCTATCTGATTGTTTCCATAATTCTTTATTGTCTCATATCTCCTCTGTATTCGAGTCTTCTGAGCTTGTATGTGCTCGTTTAGTCACTTCGGCGTAGCTTCTTCCTGATGCAGTGTGTTCTATGTCGTGTGGTATTTTATCTTTGTTGGCATTTAAGTTTAGTTTGTTGTAGAAACTTTGCTTATTTGCATCGTATAGGGTTGGTTTATCCAGTACTTTTTTCCTTAGCGTTGGATATAATTTTAGTTGTAGTAGTTTCCTTGTCTGACATCCTTTGTAATTTGCTGGGTGGTTACACTTGCAATTCACGCACCTGACATTTTCTATTTTACTCTGTTGGGGACAGAGAGTTGTTAAGTGTTTTTCTGCATATTTGACACAGGCAGGATTTCGGTTGCAATAATTTTTTGTGTCCATGGGCTTGGCATCGTGTGCATTGTGGTATTTCTCTTTTTGTTTTGGGTGGTTTGATTTTGATTATAGTGTTCAGTAGGGTATTAATATCATATATGCTCTTGTTGTTTTCTTGTGAAGCTAGTTCGATGAAAAATAGTGATAGCGGATATATGGTATCGTACCTTGTTATATTGTTTATCGATCTTACTTTTTGATCAAGTTTATCTAATTCGTTTATTATTTTGACTGTGTTCGATTTTGAATGAAATCCTCTAATAACGATTTTGTAACTCTTCTCGCTTTTTTGTTGATAGGTATAGTATCCAAGCGTCTTAGCTTTTTAATGCATTTATTACCTTTCTGAATGTTTCTGGCGTGGTAGTTTGAACTCTAACTTGATTGTCCTTGAGTTGTTTAATTATGTAATTATCCTGTCCAACAAATTCATCTAATAACTCGAGCAAAGAGTCGATGATTTTCGCGTCTATGCATATAGGTAGTGGTTTTACTACTTTTTCTTTTTCTATTTTGTCTACAACGTTTTGTAGTTTTGTCGAATCGTCAAGTAAATTATAAGAGTTGCTTATAGGTATGTCTTGTAACCATTTTGTTGTAGTTGGAGCGGAAGAGTTGTTATAGTGTTGTGTGATTTTTAGTTCGTTTATTTTATGTTTTTATGAACTTTTAATTTTAGATGATTTGGCGTCCATCCATTCTTGCGAGGCTTCTGAGTTTGTTTCCATTTCGCTTTCTATAGTTGGGTTTCTGTTATCAATCTTGATTTACCTCTTATGTGTGTGAATACTAGACGAGTAATTTTGAATTAGTTCTATCGACGGTTATTTAGTTTCAGGTTCAACTATTGTTCTTATTGTATAGCTGTTATCTTTATTTATGATTTTAAGAAGTGGGATATTGTTTTTCTCCATGGTCAACCCCCATTTCCGTGTCCTATTGCACACACGGTCGCTAACTAGGGTGCACGGTATTACCGAAATAAAAAGCGGCACGAAGCGTCCACCTTTTGAGGTTATGTAGCTGTTTATGTTACGCACGAGAACACGACACTCACATACTATGCCCGACGGAGGCCATAGCCCAACTAATTTATGAAAATAAGAAAAAACACAATATATGTATATATAATAAAATTAATACACAAAATTATTTATTCCCCACACTAGAATACCCCCTTAAATAGAACTATGGTAGATGCCATAGTGCCATAGATGCCAAGTGCACCATGGTACACTAAAATTGAGGAAATATAGAAAAACTTTACAATATCTACTGTATGTGCAAATACATAGTTAACTAATCAAAAAGACAGTGAGGGAACTACAAATGTTTCCGTAAAATTTAATTTTAAATCTTGCGGTATTGTAGTTTGCTCTTTCGAAAAGATATAGCAAAACAAAATAAAAGCACCCCAACTAACAATTGAAGTTTACGTACACTTGTAGTTGACTGCTACGCGGGTTTTACATATTTTACCGTAGTGGACACAATTCTAATTAAAAGATATAAAATAATATAGTAACAACGATCATGGCATCGTGAATACTTATTAAAAAACCAAACGGAAGTTATGAGGGTCACAGAGGTCAACGGGGTTACGAGTTATCAATATAGATAAATTTGACTTAGAAATGTGTTAATTTGATTTGCAAAAGGGTAAATTTAAAGTGCAAGAACTAGATCTGATGTGATAAAATAATTTAGCAAATGTAGAATAAGACAAATTCTAAAAAATACAAAGAATTTTTGTAAGAACTTTTTAATTGTAATGAATTGTTTTCACGAGTCGTTGCAAGTGGTGAGAATCAATAACCTTCTGTAATTCATTTTTTTTCTTTCGTTATGCTGAAGGCATAATAGAAATATTCCTTTATACATCTCTTCGTACCTTTCTGTACCATACAAATAATTCAAGTATCCTGGCATCACTCACGGTGTTTAGGCAAGCATTGTACATACCGATGAGCCTGTTTGACAGTGACACATTTACAAACAACCTTGTTTAATCTTGAATCGAGGTGCGAAGAATACGTCAATTATGCATCGAAGGTTTATATTCACGCGATTACTGCGTATCACATATGTTGCACGTTTTATAAAAGACGAAGAACAATTATTTCCGTGCCAAAATTTATTGTTAGTCTCTCTCTTGAATCGTAATAAGGATAATTAAATCATTCCTAACAAGAAATATACCTATGAATACAATTATTCGTTCAATAAATCAAAATTATAAATTTTAAGATTTATATCAATTTGAAAATTTAATAATCTTAAAATAGTTCTTTTTTAATAAGAATTTTGAAGATCTACATTAAATGCAAATATAAATTATTTATAATTCATAATAGGAAGGAGTAGGAAAACTTTGATTTACTGAATAACTATTGTTAACATTAAAAAGTAAAATTTAATGCTAAAGTTAATGGATTTTTTTAAGCGCATTCCATAACTAGAATATATCTGTATTATTTATATTATATTTATATTATTTGTTTAATATTTTAAGTATAAAAAAATAGAATTATACGAATAAAAAGTTGTTTTTCGTTTGAAACAACTATAAATGCGAAACGCAGTAAGAACGTCTGAAGACGAAGCAAGGAATATTTAAACGATTAGCAAATTTTATCCGACCTTGAAGTATTACGAGCATTGGCCTCTCAGTGAATCCTCATTTCGCTTCCTGTTTATTTTCGTCATTACTAAAAGTCACGACAAATACCAGACGCAAGGACGAATTTTTAGAAATGGCCTATGGCTAGCGAATTTGAATCGAATTTGTTCGTTCGACCTTCGGTATCAATTCATTGTTCTCAATTCTAATTACAAAACTACGATCAATCATGGTTAAAACAGTCTGTTGAACTTTTGTTTGATATTCATACATTTACTCGAGGAAGTATTTCAATAGTATTCTTCCTATTTTCTAATTCTAAAGGAATTTTAACTGAATTTCTTCGCGGATTTTGAAGGGGACGGTACAATAATTAGGATGGTTTAAAATAAAATACATTTGTTTTAACAGAATGGAATATCCGAACATTCTATAGAATCCACGTTTCTCCACATTTGTCATAAACATGTACATAATATATAGAAGCATACATTTTTAAATATGTATGTTACATGAACTATTTTTCATTGAATTGATATGAGTAAACCCTAGCTGGTATAAAATTTATTCAAATCTAATTCTCTTTAACGCCTAACTTCATTCTTATGTTCCATACGTACGCACAAAAAGAAACATAATTTCAAAAATACCCGATATTTTGAAACAATTTGTGTACTATTTAAAAAATTGAATATTAAAAAACATTGATTTAATATGATAAAACAATATTACTCTTATAATCAAAAATTTCATATCTAATGCATGTTATTGTTCAGGTGAAATAAAATATTGAAATTTCCAAGAAAGAAATTAAAACGTATCTTTAAATATAAAGATTGAAATAATTACTCCTTAATTAAACATGATGAATTCACAAAGATAACAGATAATACTTAAACCAAAAAATACTCACCAACTTTTCAACGATTTCTTCTCTCTTACTAATTCTTTTCTCTAACCACTTCTTCTCTATTTATCATCCCAATTGAAAACTAACACCAGCCCTCGTACCAAAAAGGTATCGATGGCATATTGATGGGTGTCTAAGTATCTTGGGGTTTTCCTTCACCTTTTATCGAAGATACGATCATCAAGGTAACAAATTGTAATTGATTCCTCGCTGAAAGCAAGATAATACTAATACAGTCAACAAGGCCACGAAGCAACAAAACATTGCATAACAAATACCAGTCACGCTTCACGGAGTGATGCTCACCGTTTGCCCTTACCGATTCTCTCAAATGTTTCTCCACTTCCGTGAATGAATTTTTTCGATCAATACAATCTACCGACACTCACAAATTGTGTTCTTTTCTTCAAATTTATATATTACGTAATTTATCCAAAGTCAAACTAATATCCGGTAATAGGCTCAAGTATTTAACATTTTACTACGATATACAACGTACGTTTACTTACAAATATAGACGTTTCTTTCGAAACTTCATTCCTTAGAAATACGTTTAAGTTGAAGAAAAAAAGAAAAACATCTACCCAAGCCAAGTATTTACCTTTAAGATCCATCGAAATACTACGGTTAATGCTGAACCATAAAATATTGTGTATGTATGCGGGTCAACGTGCCGGCATACGTTGATACGAATGACCGAGAAATAGGTAAATATTTTACAAACCGCGATACCAAGATTTCTTACCAGTGTTAAGTATCTCCAATCGAATGGAATACTAACGAACGCGATTTATCTTAAAATCTATTAGATCTCATTGGAGATGATTTTTCTCCACAATTGAAAACATTCAAACGCTTGTTTGCTGAATATTATTTAATGTTCTAATCGGTAATTATTTTTTTTTTTAGAAAGGAAGCAACTATCGTAGATCTCGATATCGGTAATATTATACGTTCAAACAGAGAAATAAATTTAAACGATTTATTATATTGTATCTCCCGAGGTTGATTTGTACCTAATTGTAAGAATCTTTTTTTTCCTTTGATTTTCTTACGAGCGATTAAATTCATTCCCGAAAGTATAATGAGTATTTTATTTATTTCATTATAAAACTAATATGCAATTATGCACAAATTTACTGGTTCTAAAAATGGAAAGAATAAAAAAAAAATAATAGAAAGAAATACAAAGTTGAACGAGGAAAAAATTTAGGAAGAAAAAAGGTGTGGTTATGGATTCTTTAGTAAATGATAATAATAATAATAATAATTTAGTAATGATAAGGACTACGATAGTGATAGAAGTGGTAATGGTAGTAGTATATTTCAAAGAAAAGGTGAAGTGAAACGATAAACTCATTCACTCGTTTGCTCCAATTACTGTATAGCATAAATTACTATGAGACGTAAGTATGCAATCTTTTAAAATAAATCTACAAATAGAGGATACATTATAATATCTCAAAAATTTTTTAAATGATTAAACTAAAACTTTTATTTGCGGTGTTCGAAAGGCAATAGTTTTGACGTCCTTATATCTTGTTCAAATTTAAGAAAAAAGTTAAATTATTTACATAATTAAAAAACATTTTTAAAAAATTGTTTCTATAAGCTATTAGAAATATTATTATAAACAATACTAAATTAATATTTATAATAAAATATTGACAATTTATGTTTATACAAAATTTTCATATACTATGATTATTCATTTTAAAAAATATTGACAAAGTAAATAAAAGCAATTAAAAACTACATCAATAATTGAAATAAAAAAAAATGTATACTAATCAGAACATTGTCTACTTTGAATCAAACGATCTTCTAGCACAATATTTTTTTTTAATACATAAAAAAACATACTTTAAGTACTTAAACGAGGTAAAACATAAAGTCTATAGAAAAAGAAACAATTTAATAAAAATATACAAACAGCATGTAACGATACTTCTGATCTCTATAAACAAGTTTTACGCGGAATAAAGATAATTCAAAAACTTAAATCGTTTTTTGTCTCAGATTAAGAAGCAAGAGGAAACGTACATTGGTGTACGAGGTAAGAAAAAAAAAAACATCCTCGAGTTTGCTTATGGATTATTGAGACGGATGCTGAAATTTTTTCAATGTCGAATGGCAAAAAAGTATGTACGATCGATTTCACATTTTACTCAGTGAATTATCGGAACTCGAATGTTCGTCACACATCACACGATCGTTTGATAAAACTTGTCAGTCTTTACAGCGAATATAGTACCTATTTACTTTAAAGATAATTCAACATGCAACTGACCCTGTATTGTGTCCTTTAATCCGTCTACGTGAGATTTTTTCAACTTCAATCAAGGATCTAAAAGAAGTGATATTCCATAACACAAAAACTTACATTTTTTTAATCATAATCGCGTTTATTTCGATTGTTGACATAAATCTCATTGAAGAACAAATCAATAGAATAAATTTGTATTATTGATATTCTTTAAAAAGCAAATATTTTATTCAATCTAATAAATTTCTAAGATCTTGCATATTCACTAGAAACAAATTTCTATTTGATATCTAAATTATATAAAGTTTGCACTTTAAATTCAACTTTTTGCCTTGGAATTTGCTTATAAAAGGATTAATTTCAAGTGCAAAACGTATATAAAAAAGATCATTATATCATGGAAACTTCCGATCAATAGATAATCACCGTCTGGTAAAAGCCTGTTTCCCACCGGTAACTTGATCCTAAGTTCAATGTCTGAACTCAATAATCAACATGGACTATGTAAAAAAGAAAACATAAGCACTCTATCGAATGTGAAAAAAAAAACACTAAAATAATATAAAAATAAGGATAAAAAGAGAAAAATAAACGAGAATAAATCAGACCAAAAAATATATGCAAATATATATAAATAATAATAATTATAAATAATTAAATAAAAAAATGTTAATAATTAATATCGTTTTACTACAGTATTATATTATCCTTTGTAAATGTAATGTCATATTTAAACGCAAAGTTGAATCCCAATTATGAAAAAATTGCAGACAGAAACATGAATTTTTTATTATTATATAATTTTTATATAGAACGTTTATATATAAAAATATATACAACAATATTAATATTATATATTTAAAGTTTAATTAACTTCATTTTAAATTTGGAAAAAATTTGTTAGAATGTTGCATTTAAGTAAATACGAAAAAACTTTCGCTCTATAAACCGATACATATATATTAAAATTTATCAATTTAACAAATTTGATTAGTAATTATATTTTTATTGTTGACACACAGATATTATAATTTATTTTTTACAAATAAAGCATGGAAGTTAAGAATTGTCACGTAGCGAAGATCACACAGTGGACACTGGTTGGGTCAGTTGCGTGTTTCTAGGCGATTCGATAAGAACGTAGCGGCACTCGAGTTTCAAAAAATGCATTTGTACGAATGCATTACGTACGTACGCACGCATGCTCGTATGCACGTATGCACACGCGCTCAAGAAACGAGCAAGTTAAACGACAATATGTGTGCCACCTTATCGCAGAGCATCGCAGTGCAGTCTTCCTCCATTGGGTCTCTCATTGTTATTCGTAGTGGTGCAAAAACGATACTAACCGTGTGCGATTCTTGAACATGAGTGAAGCTCGTAAAAAAGGCGAAGCTACCAGCAACTAAATTTGCGATACTCATAGTTTGTTCATTTTTTGAAGAAGATGGTAATGGAATTGAATTGTTCGTGATCGATCGATCGATACCATGTGACCCTATTTATGTAATTGGAATAACGATAAAATTCTATCTGACCGTGCACTTTGAATAAACTTCCTGATAATATTAAGTTCCAATCTGTCATATTTGAAATAAAATTTTATTACAATTTTATAAAATACTAGCTGGACCCCGCCACGCGTTGCTGTGGCTCAGTCTAATTAAATAAAAAAGAAAAAAAAATCATAAGATTCTAAACTGTTACACCTTCCTCCTCCGAGATGAATTTGATTTCCGTCCTCCCGGCCCTTCATGGAAACCTTAATCTTTCTCTAGACGAAAAGACGTATAAACGGCCTTTTTTCTTGTAGAAGATAACTTAACTTACTCCCTCCCCCTTTTACAAGATGACACAAAATAATTAAACTCAATTTCAACACAATGTAACACAAAATTAAATATTAGAAATATTCAATTAAATGGAATTAAAAATTGATCATAAATATTGAAATATTAGACTGAGTGAGCCAAAATATGATGTTGTCGTATACGATTATGTGAACGATTATGTGATTGGTATAACTTAAAATCGTATTGACTTTCACGCCAATGAGGCTAAAACGCCTCGTTATTTCATATAATATGTAGTTATTACATTAGTTTATTTCCTAAAAATGTATAATTCATTTTTTTTTATTAAAAACGTTACTAAAAACCATAAGAGTTCTCAATGTATCTGGTATAAATATAAAATGAATAAATAAAATTAAAAAAAAAATAGTATTAAAAAAGTTGTAATCCCATCTTATCGAAAATATTTGTCCACTAAAAAAATAAATAAATAATCCGGTCTAATCGTCCATAAAATCAGAAAATAATCTCAATCGTTAATTATTAGCTCCATAACGAACTGGCAAGATGTTAGAGAATTTCTGCTTTCAAATTTCATTACCGTAGTAGTTACTTGCGAGAAACTTCCTAAGATTATTTTCTATTTCTGGATAGACGTATCGTATTTATAGATCGTTCTGGATTCTCCCTAGGTATTTATAGAAGTGTTTATCGTAATCCTTCTTTTTTTTCTTATAATAAAGTATTTTCTCGATAGAAGCGGATAGGAGAGCTGGTTCGTTCCAGCTGGTGCGTCGCTTCGTAACTATGGAAAAACTGGAAAAGAGTATAAAGAAATAAAAAGACAAAGTTGCGTGCCGGCTTCATCTTATGTATCATTAGAAAAGAGTAAAACGATTTTCTTCCTGTATTAATGAGAGAACTATCGAAGGCAAGCACGAACATCCTACACTTTTCGATATTACCAACAGTATTTATACATTATCTTCGTTTTCTTTCCTTTGAACTCGTAGTGACGAACAAACACGTATATATTCTACACGCATATACGTATAATAGCATAAATAATCACTAATAGGAGCCAAGATCCGATAAGAGAACACGTCAAATGTTCTTTTTTTTTTAACGATTTAACACGGATATTTCATTGC